CCCAGAGTTCAGGCCCCACGACCAGACCCCCCCCCCAAAAAAAAAGTTCCTTTTAGAGTCAGGCACTGGTGGCTCACCCCCATAATCCTAGCAACTCAGGACAGTCTAGAAACCAGGATTTATGTCCTCCAACCTCATTTGATAGAAGGTACTGGGATTGGGGGCACCCCTGCTGGTGGGACCCCCATGGGGGCTCGTGCACAACACCCCTGCCAGTGCTGAGAGGCGGGCAGAGTGGGTCCACGAGACGCCCGGTGTCCCACGGCCTCTACTTTAAATGCCAGCCCTCCAGAGCTGCCCAGGCCGTCTGGTGCAGGTGACTGCAGGCAGGAAGGAGAAGCAGGGGTGGGGGCCTAAGCTCCACTGTCAGCTATCTCAGGGGCCTGGGCCCCCCTAGATTTTGGGGGTAGCAAGGAACTGTTTCCTGGCAACATTCTAAAATGAGTCTCCTGCTGGGTGCCAGTGGCTAACGCCTGTAATCCTAGCTACTCAAGAGGCTAAGATCTGAGGATCAAGGTTCAAAGCCAGACCAGGCAGGAAAGTCCATGAGACTCTTATCTCTAATGGGAAGTGGCACTGTAGCTCAAAGTGGTAGAGCCCTCGCCTTGAGCAAAAGAGCTCAACGACAGTGCTCACGCCCTAAGTTCAAGCCCTATGATTGACAATAAAACAGAATGGTCTCCTAGTCTTTCTCTATGCTGCATTACCACCCTGGACTGGGGAAGGCCAGGCCAACAGAGTGAGGAGGGGCCAGGCCAGCAAAGAAGGGAGATAGGAGTTCCTGTTCTGGCAGAGGCCACACATCAGCCCCAGGTCTACATGGCAGCTTCCATGAGTGTCTGTGGGGTTTCAAGCCAGCCCTGACCCTCCTGGTGGGCGGCTTCTCCCTGCGCCTCAGCTGGCCCTGAGCTGTAAAGGGCAGGACCTGGGCCTGTCGCACAGACAAACCCCACTGGATATGACAGTAGCAAGGTGTGCCCTGCTGATGTAGTCCGCCCTTCTCCACCCAGAGGTCAGTCTGACCTGGCTGCCCCTTAGGCTTCCAGGCTAGGCTGGCTACCAGGATCTGGTTACAACTGGTCATCTGTAGGCCTCAGAGGACAGGTTCACCAAGGCCTGGATCTGACTCCCTGGGCCCGCTTCCTTGAAGATGTGCCCCGCCCCCCTCCCCAAAGACCTCAGTGTGGCTTGTTGCTGAGAATCATGGGACTCAGCATGTTTCCCTCATCACTCAGGCTATTAGGAGGCTCCAAAGCACATGGCAGGGGCTGGGAATGTGGCTTAGTGGTAGAGCGCTTGCCTAGCATGCAGGAGGCCCTGGGTTCAATTCCTCAGTACCACATAAATAGAAAAGGCCGGAAGTGGTGCTGTGGCTCAAGTGGTAGAGTGCTAGCCTTGAGCAAAAGAAGTTCAGGGACAGTGCCCAGGCCCTGAGTTCAAGCCCAAGACTGGCAAAAATTAAAATAAACAAATAAAAATAAAAGAAGAAAAAAAAAAAGCACATGGTGGTCAACCCAGAGCAAGTCAAAAGCATCTGGAAACCACGCTATCTCTCCTTCCCTCTTCCCTTCCTTATGTCCCCCTCTCCCTCCCTTCTTTCTTTTTTTTTTTGGTCTGGTCGTGGGGCTTGAACTCTGGGCCTGGGTGCTGTCCCTCAGCTCTTCAGCTCAAGGCGAGCGCTCTACCACTTGAGCCACAGCGCCACTTCCGGTTTTCTGGTGGTTTATTGGAGATAGGAGTCTCACAGTCTCTCCTGCCCGGGCTGGCTTTGAACCGCGATCCTCAGATCTCAGCCTCCTGAGTAGCTAGGATTACAGGCCTGAGCCACCAGCGCCCGGC